TTGGACGCTTCGAGAACCTACTGCAGTGTACACGACCATGTGGGATAGCGTCTATGGTCAGGTCAGTAGGAACCAAGCTTGATGGAATCATGTGCTTGTGCAAGGCTTTCTGATCCGAATAGCTCTCTTCGGTCGGACAGCTCTATCAACCTTTAAAAGCGCAGCCCACAGCACAATCTGACTTGCCATCAACCAGCTCAAGCGCCCACACACCGTCTCATGCGCCCGCACCGGCATCCAAGGTCCACTTCTCACCCGTCATGACGAGCCTGTTGAATCCGCCATTGGAAGCATTGCCCGAAGGCACGGATATTTGTGAGTGTCCTGGCCCAGTGCGGCCCTTCTATGCAATGGTCCCTGATCAATTTGAGGTCTCGCCATCACTCCAAGGGGCCTTGATGAATGGCTTGATAAGCGTCACGCGCCTCTCTCCTAGATTCATGGAGCCGACCTTGGTCGCGGAAGCCGCATCGAACAGCAGCACCTTGAAGCCTGTCGACGAGTCACTTCGCATCGGCACTCGATGGAGACTGTAGAGACCGCACAGGCTGCTCGACAAAACGAGGCGAACAATTTGTGCGAAACTTGCAAGGTCCTGATCCGCGAGCAGGAAGCACATTTCAATGATCTGCAGCACATCATAAGCCAGTCTTGCACTTCAACGTTTGGGTATCAATTTTCTGCACGCCGAGATCACACGCATCGTGCGCCCTCGACGCTTGTTCAGGCGCCCAGGCCGAGCCATGCTTGCCAGGCAATGCCGTCGTCCGCTTCGAGTCGCTATTTGCAGGTGAAAGGCGAGATCAAGTCAGCACGTGCCGCTTTCACAGCGCATCTGGCAATGAACACTTGGTAGCTCACCTCGACGATGCACTTCATCCTTTGCGAACGATCCCTCTCGGGCGCGGCGAAGCTTGCAATACTCCAACTGCTCACACTCGCGCCTCGCGGTCGTCCCGAAGAGGTCTCTTGAGGCGCTAGTGGGGCAGGGCTAGCAGATGGCAAAGATGCGACCGAACCGTGCAAATCGAGCTCTTCTTCATGCCGTAGGCGAGCAAGCGGACTCCTCGGACTAAGTCCTGCTCCGTGGGTAGAAGCCGCAAGTGTCGCTTCGATTGATGGACTGGTGGCTGCTTCTACATGACCTGCATCGTTGCGCTCCGCTCGTGAAAGTCGAGATGTAGCGAGGGGACATCGATCAGGGCTAGGGACAGGTCGGTGCGTGTCCTCTGATCCTGTAGGCACATGCCGAGAGGTCTTGCGAGCGCTGGAGCGTCCGCGGCTTGGTGACATTGACGCGCCGACAGCTCCAGTCAGTGCTTTTCGCAGAGTGGGCCTCTTCGCCTTGCGAGCTGCTTTGTCTCGCTCAGCAACGACGTCGATACCCAAAGAGCCTTCATCGTAGCTGCTC